GGGGGGGGGGGGGGGGTTCTTGTAGTATACATGTACCATCAATATGTGTCAGGTGATCAGGGATTTCGTTAAGAGCCGGCCTGCTACAAGCCCAAATTGGCAGTCTACTCTCTGCTCCCTGACCGCCTACGCCAGTCTCGCTGCAGCGGTTCACACAGTTTTTGGCCTGTTGTTACAGGATGATGGCCTGCTTAAATGCATTTGTGAAACCCCTTTGTGATTAATCTTTGGTGATACTGGGTTGTTTTATGTTCATAGCCTGAATGCTGTGTAGCCGTAGCTGTAGCTCAGGAAGATAGTTACATATATCACTCTACACTGATGACACACTTGATCGCTCATAAACTAATATTTACCCCATATATTGCCCCATTGTTGAGCTACATTGTCAGCTTGTAGTAAATTTCTCTAAATGCCACTTAACATATCACCTCCATGAATAACCAAGATGAATTTAAAAAAAAACGATTCTAGTAGGCGATGTGTAAATTTGCCATGCCCAGCTTACCGATTTGCCTCACCACTGTTTTATTGCAAGGTTAACACATTTTGATGCATTAATATTGGTTAAGGTTTTCTAGTGCTTGCTGTATTTCCTGTACTTCCTCCAAATTAGACAAACTGATAGAATGCGTCATTATATTTTTAGCAAGATATTAAAATTAATAATAGGCAACTTGTTTCAGTGCATTATTATATTTTCAAAAATCGGTAATATGCAGCATTTTTTTTGGCAATTTCTACAAGTAGTCAAAACAATTGGCAAACAAAACCATGCTAAGATGGGCAACCTACAATACCACCTGATCTTTCTCAATCTATTTTTGGGTGTTTTCCTAGCTAGTTTTCCAACAATTCATGATGCTTTTTACAGCTTTCAGCATATACTGTTTCGTTTTCTCTTTGGCCGAATAAGGGTTATATAAAGTTGATGCATGTACGGTACAATGTACAGTGTACATGCTTTGATATAATTGCTATAATATTATTTTAGTGAGTTTAACTAATTTGTATAATTATAATCATCTTTAACATCAAACAGTTTGTAAATGTTTTAATTTTATGTATTTCCATCCGACTAGTCACATCCGTAAACATGTTTTAATTTAAACAAGATTTATTTTGGGGTAAAAAAGTCTTAATGGCCGTCATACCAAAGTTCCATAATGCAATTTTGCAGATGTGGTCAGCGATGTGTAAATGAGTCTTTGAAATTAACAATGTTGTTTTGGTTTTCAGCACGTCAGCAATGTCACTACTTTACGAGTGCATTAACACGGTGATTGCCGGTGAGTCTCTCATCTACGTCTCTGATTATTGACTTTTTGCTGTTAAATGACTTTATTATTAATAATAAACCTTCTTCTGTGTTAATAAAATACTGTTGTCTCTCGTTGATAAATGTATCTATTACTTAGCTCTTTGCTCGCTTTTCTCATTTTTTTTTGTCTTGTTGAGTCTGTGTGCAACATCATTGTTGATGTATGTAGTGTGGAATACTGTAAACGGCCTCTGTTTAGCAAAAATAGAAAATTGTTAACAGTGAAAATTTTGCTGTGGTTGTTAAGACCGAAAGTTACCGTGACTTTCAGGACACCGTCACCGTAAACACTCTCTAAAATCTTAAATATTTTGTCGTTTACAGTAGATTGTTGTTTCACTTTGTCTCTGATTAGTGGTAACGCATGTCTCTTTCCTTGCTTGCATGTTTTTCTCATCTCGTAAACAATTACACTTTTTTTCACCGTGAAAGTATGAGTGTGTGTGAATGTGCATGGATCATTACAACTGTGACAACCGGTAGTTAGACAATTGCTTCTCTAAGCAGTCAGGTAGCATCCATGTACTCACTCTGTCTTAATAATGGAGTTTATAATCCTACAAAATTTATATAATTAATCACATCAAAACGAATAAATATAAAGCGTTATTGAGAATAAATTATTGAGAATAAATTGGAATTGTTGATATCTTACAGTTTAAAGTATTATACCGGTAGTTATAAACCATGTGATAATTAACAAAACTGCACTTACCATTTTAGTCATTGGAAGTGTTTCTAAAAACAAATCCTACATTTTGTTGTCTCAACTGTGCATTATCATTGAATGTCATTAGTTGGGCATTATTCTATGAGGCATGTTCCGCTGTTTGTAAACAAATCAGAGATCAGTTATGTTCAAACTCCCCTGAAGGCAATTGTACTAGGGCAAATAACTGTAGTGTGATTTCATTATGATATTTGATTATTTTTTGGCTGTAAATTCTAATATCGCTGCTGAAGTATAGCCATATCTCAGACGTGGGAAACTCAATTCTTATCTTGGCAGCTGGATCTCTAAGTTCAGTATTCCTAGTGTTGATTTCACAAATCATAGGAGAGTGACAGTTATTTACTGTAGGGTTATTTTGATTGTGGTTGCATGTAACGACAGTGTAGGTTGCAGAATACTCTCAATATAAGTAGTAAAAGGTCTGTTTTGAGGATATCTTTGACATATTTGGTTCAGTCACTTTGTTTATGAAGTCCATATGATTAAATTTAAGAGTTAAGTAAGAGTAATGTCTAGAGTATACACAGTAAAATAGGGGGATCCACTTGTGCCCTCAGTAAAGACAAGTCTGTAAACTGATGTTTCACAGTTGAACTGGTCCTTGATATGCAAGTTCTGACACATTCGCCATCAGCCTTTGCAGCGTTAAATAATAAAAACAAAAAAATACATCTCTTATTTTTTTTTCAATTATATTTGAAAATGAAACATAATTCAACCTCTTTTAACATGCAAAGGCTTATGGGTAACCACAATACATTGCTGATGAAGACCAACTATTGCATGTTTTATTGAATGGGAGGAATGCCCCCGTAATGCATTGCACCGTGATCCATATGGCTATGCTGCCTGTACCAGGACACTCTGATCAAGTGGAAATCTCCTGCTCACTATTCTCTTTCTCTCTCTTCCAAACTTACAGTTTTAATCTCATTATCTTCAGGAATGCCCAACCACTCGGCTTCAATACAGGTACATTTACGAGCTTTATACGTCGTGTATTGCTAGATTGATTGATTGATTGATTGACAGAGCAGCCTCCCAAGGAGCCTTATATAAGCACTGTCATCTGCCTTTGAGTCTTGGAATCTTTCAGTGCACACTGTCCTTGTGTCTAACTGGCCAAACCGTAACGTATACTACACCTTGCCCCTTTTCTTTTCAATATGGTGCTTCATTGGGTCAAGGTTTAATTTATTATCGTTAATCCTTTGAACGACAAAGTCAAATTTTGTCATTTTTCACCAAATGTTTTCATATTTGTTTTGTTTTTTTGAAAATTTGATCATGTTCTGTAGGCAATGGGTAATCATGTCTATTTGGTACAAAATTAACAAAGAAATTACAAAAAATTCACAACAAGAATTTGATGAGGAAAAAAAAGATGTTCAAAGGATTAATATGATGGGACATGCTGCTTATTAATTTCAATAATCCATTAATCCATGCTATTCTATGTTGAATATCTAATCCATAAATAAAAAGCATAATACATTTATTGCATTATATTCATCTAAGTAAATGCTCATGTAAGTGAACTTCATTCTGAAATCACAAATTTCTATATAGTACGTTACATCTGCTGTTTGCCATTCTTTTTTCTTTATTTCATAAGATGCCATTCTGAATTCTTTTCCCCCCTTGCGAGTTGACCCCTGAAATAAAATTCTGTCGTACTCCATAATTTAAATCTGAATGAATTTAAAATATATTGGAATAGATTTTACTTCCGTCAGCCTTTGTTGATAATTTATTTATTTAAATGAAATGCTGTGAAGATTTATTGAAATCTGTTAAAATATTGTATTCTATTTAAATATTGTATTCAGGGTTTGATATCTGATTCAGCTGATTTTGTATTGTAATAGTGAATCGAAAACTGAAGAGTACTCATCATGTGAAGTAGTATTATTATTACCAGTAACTTGATTGGATCCAATGTTGTACGAATTGTTTGTGTAAAACAAATTTGTTTTGTGTTTTATGCATGACGTGTAAAATATTTAACATTTGGCTTTTCACAAAAAATATATTTTTTTTCCACAAATTACAATAAAAACCGTCTAGCCTAAGGGAAAATGCATGTATGCCCCATTTGATCTAAAATTATAACAAGAAATTTGAGAAATGTACTGATAAAACAGTGAAAAATATTGAACTAAATTATGGCAAAAAATATATGCTATTTAATTGAGGTTAACTCAGTGAGAGTTCAATTAGGTAATTCAATTAGGTATTTAGTTTGTTTTTAATGAGGAAGTTTGTAAGTGTAATATTTTTATTTTGTTCATAGATAATGTGAGAAACATTTGTAATACGACTACAAAACATTACTGTACCATAGTGCATTAAAAAAACAACTTTGTTACACTTTGTAATGTATGTACATACTGCTTAAATATTTATATTTTACCCATGTACATTTTTACAGCTTTGTGTGCAGAAATTAAGAATTCTTATAGAAGATTCTGATCAGAACTGTAAGTAGAATATTTAGTTGCTTTCACTTGTTGATAGAAATCTAATTTTTAGTTTGGTTCTCTAGATATGGACTACTACGTTAATTTCAAAAATGATTGATTTGATTTGGAGACTTCATTTCATTCCTGAAGAAAAAATTTTATATAAAGTCACTGACTTGCAGAGATTGTCAAACTATAGGGATTACTTTCTCTGTCTCACAAAGACCACATTATGCCATCTATATTATTCTTCTTCATGCCTAGCAGTTCTATTTCACCATCTCTGTATTGTGCATCTGTAGTGAAATATCTTGGTTTGCTGGCCATGGGTAGAATCTTGAAGACTCATCCCAAGTCAGTACAGAGTCATAAAGACCTTATACTTCAGTGTTTGGATGATAAAGATGAATCGATTCGATTGAGAGCGTTGGATCTACTCTATGGTATGGTAAGTGTGCAACTCAACGTGATAGCACATCCACATGAATCACAAAAGATGCACCCATATGGCAAGAGATGTTAGTAACATTTACTCACAGATACATATAAGTTCGGCTAAAAAGTTTGATACTATTCTATTATTATTTGTTCTTCCTAGGTGTCAAAGAAAAATCTAATGGAGATTGTTAAGAAATTGATGATTCATATGGACAAGGCTGAAGGAACGCAGTATCGAGATGAATTACTGTCAAAAATCATCCAGATATGTAGCCAATCAAACTATCAGTATATAACTAACTTTGAATGGTGAGTATTTCCTTGGTTGTCTTAATCCCATGGCTTGAAATGAGAAGACAAGGCCAAATAGACCATTTTCCGTTCACTGCGAGATCCCGGTGTTATGCGTGAAATCGAACATAAAAACAGGGCAAACAAAGTTCGTAGTGGCGACAAACATTGAGTGGGATTTGATAAACGCAAAAGTATTTTGAGGGATTTTTCCATGCTTAATAATGTGCTGTACACATTTGATGATGGTCAATTTCCATGAGGATATTCAAGTGCAATATTCCCCTGTCAAAGATCGGCCTTTTGATTTGAGCTACAAAATATAGAAATTCTAGTTCTCATTTGTAGAGATTTTAGTGGCACGCATCTTCCATGCAACTTGCAAGATCTCGCAGTTGAACGAAGAATCCCCTAGTTGATAACATTTTCCTAGCATATGGGGAATAGGGGACCAAAACGCACCTTTTGGGAAAAGAAATCAAGGAAAGAAAATTGCCATTGATGCTTCCATAAGCTTAAGAACCCCTCTCTCGAAGATTTCACTAATTCTGAACTAACTCTTTGCTGAAGAGTGGTTTTTGGCTTGGCCATAATGATGTGAAGGGAAAGTCATAGTAGTGGCAAAATGTCTGCCATGCGGTGGTGTCGTTGTCTTCATCGTAAACTTTTATGTAAACAAAGTATTCCAATGTTCAACAAATGTTGTATATGTCGTATGGGTCCCATATCGAACATGATCACACTGGCGCTATGACTGGAGTATTTCTTCTGTTATTTATAATTATTCCATTTTCTCGCTAGGTATGTAAGTATTTTAGTTGAGCTGACGAAAATTGAAGGCACTCGACATGGTAAATTAATCGCTTCACAGATGTTGGACGTTGCAATACGCGTCAAAGCCATCAGGCATTTTGCTGTATCTCAAATGGTAAGTTGGTAACCAGTTAAAGTTCACACAGTTAAGGGCATGTCAGTATCTAAACTCCATCCTTTTTTTAAAAGCGTGTAACAAAATAAACAAATCATAAAATTTATACTGTGGATTATTTCAGTTTAGCCTAAATCTCTTTTTGATGAAAATCTTAAATGGGGTTGACATTGATTTATTGGAAAAAAAAAAATATTTTTGTTGATTTCCCCTTTTAGCATATTCAAAAGTAAATTATCAAAATCCAGAAATATTCAAATTTATGTGCATTCGGTCTATGAAAGTATCACAATTTCGTTTGTTCTGTGCTTTACTCTGTATGTAACTGATTGATACTGACTTTTCAATTTCTCCACAGGCCCAGCTGCTTGACAACTCACACTTACTGGTTGGCTCTGCCATGCATCGCAATGGGATATGTGAAGTCTTGTATGCGGCCGCCTGGATAGTCGGCGAGTTCTCTGAACACCTATATGATCCCAGGGCCATATTAGATGCTATGTTACGTAGCCGAGTCACAAGTCTACCTGGTCATATTCAAGGCGTCTATGTTCAGAATATCATCAAGCTGTACAGTTTTATTTTACTGAAATCTGAAAAGGACGATGACAAAGAAGACATGCAGGAGACCACGCAGCTGTTGATCGAGAAGCTGCCCATGTTTGCAGAGAGTGCAGACTTGGAAGTTCAAGAAAGGGTAAGATTGTTCATTGTTGCTTCGATCTGAGTACAGTTAACTTTGATTTACAATCTACATATGAATAAAACTGTACCTGGTTTACAATCTGTATAATGAATACATCTTTACCGGTTTACAATCTGTATATGAATACAACTTTACTGGTTTACAATCTGTATATGAATACAACTTTACTGGTTTACAATCTGTATATGAATACAACTTTACTGGTTTACAATCTGTATATGAATACAACTTTACTGGTTTACAATCTGTATATGAATACAACTTTACTGGTTTACAATCTGTATATGAATACAACTTTACTGGTTTACAATCTGTATATGAATACAACTTTACTGGTTTACAATCTGTATATGAATACAACTTTACTAGTTTACAATCTGTATATGAATACAACTTTACTGGTTTACAATCTGTTTATGAATACAACTTTACTGGTTTACAATCTGTATATGAATACAACTTTACTGGTTTACAATCTGTATATGAATACAACTTTACTGGTTTACAATCTGTATATGAATACAACTTTACTGGTTTACAATCTGTATATGAATACAACTGTACCGTTTTACAATCTGCATATGAATACAACTGTAGCAGTTTACAATCTGCATATGAATACAACTTTACTGATTTACAGATTGTATATTTATACCAAATTACCGGTTTTAAATCTGCATCCGAATACCAATTTAGCAGTGCAAAACTGATAATTTGCTCTTCTGAGTCTAGGTTTGGGTAAGATAGGTAAGTGGAGTGATCACTTGTCTTAGAAAAGTAAGATCTAAACATTTTTTATTCTAATAATAGTTAGTCTTAAATCTTTCTTCTCTGCAGGCATGTTCCATTCTTCAGCTGTTAAAATATGTACTGAAACTACAAGCTAAGGAAGTAGAGGTTGGCGAAGAGGTAGCTGCTTTGTTTGACGGTGAATTGAATCCTGTAGCTCCAAAAGCACAGAGAAAAGTACCTGTACCAGAAGGGTCGGTATAAAATGAATTTTAGTTTTTCTTCAGCCAAAATTGTGTTATCTTTGTGTCCATGCGTATGTTCTAAGATGGGAATGTATTACGTTTTAAAAGGAAAACAAAAAAATCACACTTTGCTTCAAATCTAAATAATCATTACCTACACCAGGGCCCCAAATTTACCGAGACCACAACTACAATTGCTCTGATGCCCTACCCGACTGCCTGTTCTGCCGCCCTCAATTTTTTACAACACAGTTTCAACACAAGTTGCTTCGAAAATTGGTGACATGAAAATTCTGATGTTCAAGCAAACTTGACAAACTTGACATCGTAATGACGATATAAATAGATACATGATATAATTGTGTGCAAGCCTGACAGTGTAATGTTTCATTCACAGGCTTGATCTCGATAAATGGATCAACGAACCTCCATCTGAAGATGAAGACGAAAATCCAATTGAAGCGTTGTTTGTTTCTGATGAGCACGGGTAGGATTAAAATGTCACTTGTCAGTTATTACGACCATGATCAGAACAATCCATCAAAGTACAGATGTAGCCTGGATGTAGACAACTCCTTTGTGTCTGTTAAACATGCAAAGGACAACATCGGTTCTTGTCTAGTGGCACTGTCTGTCGACTGTACCAGTCAAATATTTTAGATTAGAATTCTAGTACATTAATGTGGTATTGAAAGATTCATTGAAATAACAAGCATTCAAAATTTCAGGTCAATGGGTCAATCCTCACGGAAATATGAAGAGCCCACGGAGGATGAACTGAGAAGACGCCGCGATATGAGACGTCAGCAACAAGAAAACAATCCGCACTATCTGAGACCTGATTCACCGTCTAAGAAAAAAGACTCGGCTTACATGAATGACATTCCAGTCGCAAAAATAGATTTATCTGTACCGTTACATGTACCAGGTGAGTCAGTTATGTTACGCCTATTATCATTGGTGTAACAGGCAAATTATTTAAATTTGTAACAGTTACCCTCATGTAAGACACATTCTCATTGGTTCGCCAGATGTGTTAGTTCAGTCTCCCTTCTTTTGATATTACATAAAGTGCTTGAAATCTGGAAACAATATGATTACATATTAAAGGCATTTTGTGTATTGAAAACTACAAATGTCTTGACTAGTTCCAGTGTATGGGAAAATAATTTTTTTTTAATGTCCTAAATAATCATCTTTAAAATTCTGTTTAATTTATTGGCATCTTCGTGATATCAGTGTTTTTTATCTTTTCATCTTACTGCATGCGATCTTCTAAACCTAAATCATGATCTGTTCATGTTTTTCTTCTCACGTCATGTCTGTCTTAAAATTTTCATAACAAACAGATGTTGTCAAAAAGGTTGTGCAAACAGTATACTTGGTATTTGCAGGTGATTCTCCCAAATAAGTATTAAGTAAACTACTAATTTGTGCATATGCGATGTGATTTGTTTCGTTCAGCTACCGTGCTTTGGTTGGAAACCTTTGTACTTTACTGAAATCTGATCCTGGAAAAAAAAAAAAATTAAATCCTAGAGTTTGCTTCGGTGTGATAACGTGTCCACTGTTATTTTGAAAAATTGTTAAATGTGGCTTGCCTTTTTGACAAGAGCTGTAAGTCATTTTTGATCATCTTGACTAATGCTCCAACCATTTATCTAGGCTTGAAACGTAAAAAGGGTACTAGTAGATCTGGTGGCGGGAGAGGACCCAAATCTGCCTATTCTCACATCCCAGGTGATTTAGAGCTTTATTCTCATCATCGTTTCACTATCTCGACTCTTTCACCCGCTCTTTTGATTATTTTTATCACCTCTGGCTTCAAATCATTCATCTCAGAACTTAATAAAATAAATTCTTGTATGAAGTGGGCTGTTTTTCATTTTTACTTTAAAAAAAAAAACACACCACCAGGTTAAAATCCTTTGTAAAATTTAGCAATTCAATTTTCGCCATTATTTTATCTGAAAACCCCAGATCTTGGTGGTGGTTTTCATGTCGCTCTCCCGCCCGCTTTATTTGGGTGCAAGAGTTCAAGATATTTTTTTTGTGATGTCTGTGATGTGATGATTTGTGTCGTTCTAATCTTACTTGATGTGTTATATGTTACTGAAATGCATGATGATATCATTTAACTCTTTAATTAATTGTTATTTTTTTTTTTTCTTCGTGAGTACAAGTTAAGTTTGATTGACACTGGCAACTCTGAGTGTTAATCTTTCACCTTAGTGTTCCTGAATAGTTTGGAGTTAGTTTAACGCTGTGAATGCCGTAATGTTTTCTGTCTAAATGCTGTTGCAACGTTTTTTTCACTTTTTTATTAAATGAATATTTCTATAATATCTTTGTTAGTTTTGGAACAATTGAACATCTATTCTCAATGGCTATCGGTTTTGATCGACAATTTAAAAATACACACAAATTTGGTTTGAATTTGTCAAAAGTTGTCAACTCCCCAAAAAAATGTTTTCACCTTTCACTTTCATCTTTTTCTCTATATTTTGTTTCAAAAATTATGATCAAGACCTGTAGACACTTAATACTGTGTAAAAATATGGAAAAGAAAGAATATTGAGATTTTGGAAAGACAAATACTGTTGTTGAAAATGTTTAAAGTTGTCTCTTACTGAGTGTGTGCACCTTAGTGTTAATCCATGCCACAGTATGCCATGTGCTGTTCCCTTCCAGCTCGTGTGCCAGGCAGCAGCTTCTAAATGTAATAATGAATGGTTCCTAAAATGTAAAGTTACGATTCAAGTTAGTCATGTAAAAATAAATTACCCTTGGTGTATGGTACACAACTGTCACTAATTTCTGCTTTCAGTGCCTGGTGAATAATAAGATAATAAGGTATACTAATGTACTTGTACATGTGGGTGTGTTTCTTACAAAGTTAGTGCAATGCCATTGTATCACCAATCTCATTATCTTATGTACTATGGTAGCTCCCTGATCCTAGTTTTTTCACTTCTCACTCTCCGCTATTTTTATATGCCATTCAAAGTATGATTTGACAAACATCTGAATGAAGCACAGACCAAAACTGATGGGATATGAGCATGAGTGTGAGATCTTGTAACCGTCACTCAGAACATCTTGCAAATATCGGTGCTGTTGCATTTGTGATTAGATGCGTATTATTTTGTTGGTTAAGAGCTTCCAATGCTATACATGTGTAGAAGACAATACAGTTTTACTTGCTTATACTTGCTTTAGTCTACAGCTGAAATACATTTGTAGTGTAGTGTTTGAAAAGTAGAAGAATGATCACGATAAAAATACTTGCAAATTATATTCATGAGCTGGAAATTTGAATATAATTCCTGTCGTGGTAGGTGGAATGGTGCATGTACACAAAGTGGCGATATGTACGCAATACCGGTATGTACCTTTGCTGAACCGGGCAATAAGTTGACATTGATAGATCTTGGTAGCCTAGTAATCTTTGATGACTGGAAGATGTAAAACCTATTTGTGTATTCCTTGAAACAGGAATGACAGTTACTGACAAGTATATGAAGGAGCAAACTAAGAAGGAGAAAAGAAAAAAGAAAAAGAAGAAAGGTCGTAAAGGGAGAGCCAGAGAGACGGATTCTGAAGAAGACATCCCAGTCATGCACGAAGTGGACACCACAGTGGATATGCCTGAGGTGAGTGCATTCTATGTCATCAGATTGCACACTGTGAATAGTAGAGTTACACTGTGTAATAAGATCTGTACAAAAAGGTAGTGTTTGATTAATTGACAGCCTTATTAGGAGGTAGACTTTCCAAATAAGGGTGCGTGTGTGGGTCAATATGTGGTTAGGTTTGAACTGATGGTAAGTTTGAAATTTAACCGTGTATTTGTGTAATGGTTTAAACACCATAAAAGAACATCGCCACATTTGTTCTACTAGAAGCTTGTACTGTATGTTTATAACAGAGATGTTTCTTTGATAAAAATAGAACATGCATGTATCTCAATGTCTGATCCAGTATGCAAAAAATACAATTTTTGTTTTTTGCATTTCTATTAACCTTTCTCGCCCAACTTTTTCTGAAGGAAAGAATATATATATATATAACCATTTTGTGAATTAGTAATGAAAAGAGAAAACTGGTAGTAAGAAGGTTAAGAGTTGAGCTTCTAAAAAAACTCAGGAACTCAACATTCAGTTAATTTTAAAGAAAAAATAGTGCATATAATGACATGGGAGCCCTTATATGGACATGAACTGACCATAGAGGACGTCACCACCTTGCCAGTATTGTTTCATTGATGTAATGTGTATTTTCAGGGTGCAACACTGAGTGATGGTGAAGAAGAGCGCATGGATCCAAATGATCCTCACAGGGCTTTAGCTGATATTGATATTGACAAGTAAGATATGGCTATTAAAGTTAATCATCGTATCGTTCATGGAGTCTCTATCATCATGCCACAGAACACTGAAAAGATTTCTGAAAAATTTAAATCAAAGTCTCATGTGCTTTGTCAGTTAAGCTTATTATGTGATACAAGACAACATTATCTATTGGTTTAAATTTGAAAATGATAACGAGTTGTTTGCGAGGAACGCTGATTGATCCAGCACTTTAGCATGCCCAACAAAATCATTCAATTCAACTGAGGTCAAATACAGCTTTTCCGAACATGATCATGCAAAGGGTTTGTAAGAACTGCCATGAATGGTCGGTTTCAGTGAGACTGGGAATTTGATGATGCTTTTTGTACATAATAGTACATGTATTATTTGCTTTCTTCTTGTAGACCTCTAGAATCCTCAGAAACCTTGCCAGTTCGAACACATAGGGTAGTGAACGATGTACCACAGTCCGTGCCGTCTACTGGTTTAAAACTAGCAGAAACACTACCTGTGGAAGAAGAAAAACCCAAGAAAAAACATCACAGAAAGAAAGATGAAAAGGAGAGGAAAAAAGATAGGAAGGAAAGAAAGGTGAAATAGATTATTGTCATTGCTGACTTGTAGTGGTTTTGCCATCTCTGTTGGCTGTCTTTGAGATTTGCCATGCTGATGCTCATAGTGGTGTTTTTTGTGTCACATATGCGTTTAATAGATATGAGCCCCATATTAATAAAGTTGGCAACTTTCATTGTTGTATAGTTGTAAAGATCGCTCGCATGCGTGGTGTGGCCTGTCGACCATCACTCTTTAAATACACAAGCGACAGTGTTAGTTAACAAATAAAATTATTATTCATAATTTAAGAAAAAGAAACGAGCTGAGTCAGTAGAAGAGATGAAACTGACGCAGGAAACCAAAGAAGAAGCGGAGAATAACTTGATGGGTTATTCTGAATTTGATACATCGCAAGGTGGTGGAGAGGCTGATGATGAGCTAAGCCGAGAGTCCCCTGCCACGCCACCACCTACACCGAAAACACCTCCAGAAGATGAAGATGCGACAGACGCCAAGTTAACCGAGGTAACTATCTTACTGATGAATGTGATGAACCTGTTGTAGTCTGGGTTGATCAGAAGATAAATCCAGTTGTAATAACATATTTAATTTATTATAATTGACAGTCCAATCTATCAATAATGGATAAATGTATTCCATGTTCGGTTAAAGCTATCTTGACACCTTACATTGCAAATTGAGAATGGTTAACAGTAAACTACACAGCCTAAGATGTACATGTATTTGTATTCATGTGTAACGTTATACATGCATTGTATCACGTTTATATTGCTGCATTGAAAACACTGTACCGTTTCGTATTCTGTAAATATATAAGTTTGTCATTACTGTATTATCGTATCGTCTTGTACATGTATTCCCATCCATCCATCCCAGTTTAAGGGCTCGCTTCTGAGAGTAAATCAGTTAATTTTTTCAAGCACACCATATATTTTATCATCTTATATTATTTATATACATCCATCCCCCTTTTCCTTGCAATAATTGGGGAGCGCCCCCCACCAGGCACACTTTTTATCATGCACTGGTTATCCCTTGCTGTTGTATGCTGTATTGCTGCGACACACAAAATATTTGTTTTTTAATGTGCTGACCAAATTTATGACTGCATGATCATTGTGTATTTTAGCCAGTAATGCATGCGGCGCTTTAAATGTCCACCTCTTTAGTTGTCTGTTGTTCTCACCTAGCTGGATGATATTAACTTCTGGTTATCTGCCACCGATGCCCCAAAGCCAGGAGAAGCCGAAAACCTTAAGGAAGCAAACGAAGCTGCAGTCGAAGAACTAGAAGAACGTCCCATAGAGGTATCTGTATTACTGTATTACATCATCACAGCTGACAGCGTGATTGCAATTATTTTGTTTTCACTTACAGCATCTGCATGTTGCATGCCCCCCTCCTTCCCTTCTTTCCCTTATATGTATAAATGTGATAAATGATAATGTGTGTTTCCATGAATGTTATAATGTGGTTTATGTACATATTGATTAACATGTTGTAACTCTACATTTTTTCTATCAGAAGTTGCCCTTAGTAAACATGTGTTAAAAACACTATAATTGTAATATCTGGCCATGTGAAAAATACATGGATGTAATTTACAGAAAATTTAATTGGCCTTTTAGTTCTAGTTTTAGTACATCTAGTATACAGACATCATTCATGATTATTTGGTAAATCATGAGGTGGGCAGGGAGGCAATCTGTGTAATCGTGTTACATTTCGCAGAGATGTGATTTATCCATACTGTAGTGTCAAAAAAAAAAATACTGAAACCCATATATGGTATGATACTAATTTGTGATTGAGTAGCTATTAAATATTGTATAGTCCTCGATCATTCACTTTGCTTTAATTTCACTATCTTCACAGATAAGTGAAATGCACTTTAAATTAAATCTATGTGGACATGTAGTATTAACAAATGAACTCATTGTTTCCCTGTAAAACTTAGCAAACTCAGTGAATATTATGAAAATAGTGAAATTAAATAACAGGGAAAATTAATGTTTTCACAGTACATGTACTAACCTCCTGAACAGTAAAAAAAATATATATGTGATTCCATTGTACTAATCATCTGTTCCACGTCTCATAATATTTGTCTAAGATTTTCTGAGCTTGTGGAGTCGATGCAATGCTTACAAGATTGTGCCTTATTGGCTATCCAACCCTAACACCTCACAGTCAAAACCAATCAGGGAGCAGCTTGATTGTTTGTTGATGCATTTCTCGATAAATCAATTTCATCCTGATTCAACTGAGGTAGTGTTCATCTGGCATAGTCCGTGTTCATTTTCTGCTTCTCTTTAAACATCTTCATACTCACTGCCTTTATCTGCTTTTAATATTTGTACATTACTCATATTATAAATAAGACAAGCTGTATTGATTTTTATTTTTTTTTAACAGGCTACAGTCAAGAGTAATTAATTCCAATGATTCATCTTTGACTTTGAATGATTGAACAGTAATTGCATCCACATTGTCTCTGTTTTGTTTAGAAACATAAAAAGAAGAAAGAGAAGAAAGCAAAGAAAGAGAAACGAGAGAAGAAAGAAAAGAAAAAGAAGCACCGCAAGGAGGAGGAGGAGAAGGAGGAGGAAGAACCGACAACGTTTGAAGAGGTTGTTGATAATGAACCAGCCATTACTGAAGCCCCACTGCCAGTACGTATACATTCAGGATACTGGGCTATATCTCTATTTGCAGACTCGGGGCACTACCCATATATGAAAATTCTTATATACGGTTAAATATCCCCTATCCAACACAGTCGCTGAGCCAAACAACTATCAGTTCCTTGTAACCTTATTATTCACAAATAATCCATAGCTTTTTTGCGTTGTGGCTAGCGGTGAACTTTCGCTCACAGACAAGAAAAATGGGATACAGTTCTTACTGAGGTTAAAATTAAAGATGGCCACCACTGAACTACCGAGGCCAAGATTGTTTTGGTTAACATTTTGAGCACCCAAGTCAACTTTTGTCGCTGTATTCAAAATTGAATGCTTATTTTTTTCCAAAATTAACAAATTCAAGAAACAATTTCTTGAAATTTTTTTGAAAATTTGCCAAATGAAATGTTGCACCAAAAGTGTAGTGAAAAAGCAATGGTGTTCTAGAGGTTATTGAATGAGTTAGTGTAATTTGTAGTCTTCCATATGCTTGGTTTAGGTTTTATGCATTTTAATTTAAAACTCATTGTTTTTGTTTTTTATTCCTAGCCAATGTCAAGTTACAAATTATTGGGAGAAAGTGAATTCATTAAAATGGTAAGTGTAATTTTGTTATACAAATGCCCATTTTGCATATTGTTGTAACCCCCAATCAGGGATTATGCTCACCAAGCTTGCTAAACACAAGTCTCTGGCTGTAAATCCAGAAACTCTTATTTACACGAGCTGTTAATTTTTTTAGTCCCCATCGGACGTTGTCTGGAACAGGGATTTATTTTTTATTTGGTTGACCTTTGACCGACTGGCGGCCATTTTGTCCCAAAAAACACACAAAAACCATTTAGACTTGTCATTAACTGTTTCTCGGAAATGCCTTGACCGATTTCATTCAAACTTGACATCAATCATGGTAGGTTACTGATGCACGGCATTTTTTTTGTGATTCGATTCAAAATGGTGGCCATTTTGTTTTTAGTCCCCGTTCGAACGCAGTCCGAAAACGGGGACTTATGTTTTGCCCTGTGTGCGTCCGTCCGTGCGTCCGTGATCACCTGTATCTCGAACATGCATGGACCGATTAAGTTCAAACTTCACTCATACATCACACATTATATGGGACATATGCACATGCATTTTTTTCATGATCCGATTAACGATAGTCGAATAGTGGCCATTTTAAGGCCGAAAATGCATCAAAATCGCACATTTTCACCATTCCGAACCCGGATCTCGGTTATGCATGGACGGATTTTGTTCAAATTTGGTACATACATTAAACATAATAGGACCTTGATGCACGTCTTTTTTTTTTTTGGATCGGGTTCGAAATGGCCGACTGGCGGCCATTTTGTTTTAAAGAATTCAGTTCTGGATCCGTATCTGAGACATGCTTGGATTGATCGAGTTCAAACTTCACACACACAAGGTACATCATGTCACAAATATGTATGTGCATTTGTTTCATGATCTCATTAACGATAGCCAAATGGCGGCCACTTTAAGGCCGAAAATGCATTGAAATCGCACATTTTCACCATTCCGGACCCGGATCTCAGTTATGCATGGACGGATTTCATTCAAATT